CTAGTAAAGCGCTATATAAATACAGGCAATTTTACCATTTACACACATGCAGGTAATTGCTTCACTTTCTCCCCGCAAATGCTACAAAAAAATCTGTTCAGTTTAACCTGAGGTGCTCAAAGAGGGTTTTGTCAAGCTCACGGAGAAAGTTAATCAACTCTGAACTGGCATCATCACCTTTACTCCTCACAGTGTCGATAACAAAACGAGCCTCTTCCCTTTTGTTTTCCATCGCGTCCGCTGCCTCCCTCTCTGCATCAGTTATCACCTTTTTCTCCAGCAGTTTGTCGATCAGGCTGCTGAGATTAGGTCCTGATATCCCTTCAATGAAGCAGCTTCGTGTGTTTAACAGCCTCTCAGAAGGAGAAAGATTTATAGTTCCCACTGTAGGGGAGAAAATACATAGATCTCTTTCCCAAACACAGGTGGAGCTGCTCTTCTCTTTCAGACTCAGGCTAATATCTCTGAAGACTATTCTTAAAATCACCTGGAATGTCGTGAAGTAGCTGTCGTGGTACTCTTCATCAAATTCGGCCTCTATTGGCTGAACTAGAACTGAGTCATCTTCAGGAACAGTGGACAGAGTGTAAACCTGCTTTGGATGCAGTTTGCAATGAGGAGATGTATCTATGTACCTCTCATCCCCATTTAGTTTCCTCCTGGTGCGCTGTACATCACGGATCACGATGTTCCTTGGCAACAACAAAACATTGAGGATGGATCTGAGATCAGGCTCAACTGGGGGTTTGTAGAAGAGCAGAACCAAAGCTTGGACTGGGTCAGGAGGAGAGTCTTCATCCTTCACATTACCATAACCAGAAAACCCTGTGATGTTTATAACAACGTGACTTTCCGTTATCCGCTGAGGGGTGATAAACTCGATGCCCTCATCCTTCACATGAGCGACCTGCAAGAACTGACCTCCACCTGTGGAGATGAGCTCACAGTGTGGGAGACAAAGCTGACACACAGACTGCTGCTGACATTTGATGTCAAACAGGGGTCCTGCAGGCTTCTTGTGGTGTTGGGCCAGCAGCCTCCTGTTCCAAGGGACAGTCCTGTGAACCACGTCTCCTTCTGCCTTCATTAAAAAGACCAGGCCGGTCACACTGCACTGGTACAGGCAGGTTTCATCATTAAAAATCATCATTAATAACAGGTGTGAAGACCTTTAACAGCATATCAGGTGAGCTGTTTACTTGTGCGACGTTGTTTGCACAGGGTATTTTGCTCAGTGAGACCATGCTGTGAGAACAAGGCAAGAGGCAGGATGTCCTCCAGGGCCCACTGAAATTACTGGAGAAGTGAAAGAGGATAAGCTGAGAGTGGAGCAGATTTTCATTAAAGTTTATTTAATCATCATCCAACACAGTTTCAGACTCCATATTAATGCGTTTCATGACTTCTTCATAGTCAGAACTGCTACCTGCTGCTGATTCGTCAACAAAAGGTGAACAAGTGTCATTAAGACCATCTCGTGTTGCCTGAAGAGGCTGACGGATATCTGGTCTTGACCCAAGGGCATCTTGTGTCGCCTGAAGGGCATGTTCTGTTGCCCGAAGGGCATCTTGTGCTGCATGAAGGGCATGTTGTGTTGCCCGAAGAGAATCTTGTTTCGCCTGAAGGGCATCTTGTGTTGCCCGAAGAGAATCTTGTTTCGCCTGAAGGGCATCTTGTGTTGCCCGAAGAGAATCTTGTTTCGCCTGAAGGGCATCTTGTGTTGCCTGAAGAGAATCTTGTTTCGCCTGAAGGGCATCTTGTGTTGCCTGAAGAGAATCTTGTTTCGCCTGAAGGGCCTCTTGTGTTGCCCGAATGGCTTCTTGTTTTGCCTGAAGGACCTGAGAGGCATGTTGTTTTGCCTCGAGGGCCCGAAGTGCATCTTGCTTTGCATGAATGGCATTTTGTTTTGCCTGAAGGGCATCTTGTTGTGCCTGAAGGGCATCTTGTTTTACCTGAAGGGCCCGAAGGGCGTCTTGTTTTGCCCGAAGGTCATCTTGTGTTACCTGAAGGAGCCGAAGGTTATCTTGTGTTGCCTGAAGGACCCGAAGGTCATCTCGTTTTGCCCGAAAGGTATCTTGTGTTGCCCGAAGGGCGTCTTGTGTTGCCCGAAGTGCATCTTG